TCAGGGGGGATGGGCTCGGAGGGGGGGGGAAGTCAGGGGGGATGTCAGGGGAAGGGTGGAGGGGGAGGGGGGGGAAGCCAGGGGAAAGGGCGAAGGGAGAAGTCAGGGAGGAGGGCGGCCCTGCCTCCCTGCTTGGGGGGGCAGGGCTGGGTACGGCTTCAGGATAACACCGAATCGCCCGAGAGCAGCAGCAGGGGGGGAGGGGGGACGTCAGGGGATAGGCTCAGGGGGGAGGGGGGACGGGCTCAGGTGGGTCAGCGTCAGGGGGGAAGTTCAGGGGCAACGTCAGGGGGGCTCGGGGGGGAGGGGAGCGGGGGACGTATCGACTCCCAATCGCCCATTCATCGCCGATGGGAGCCTGATAGCCCAGCCCGCCCAGGGACGTGCGGTTTCGCTATCGGGGGCATGTCGCCGATTCATCGGCGATGCATCGCCGACTCCAAGTCGCTGTTTCCCCTCCCCGGAGCTGGTCGCCCCCCAAGCGCTCCCCCTCGCAGGACGCGCTGCCCGGCGCCGTGGAGGTCTCCCGGGGCGCCTCCCCGGGCTCGGCGGGCGACACCGATGAGGACCCCGCCGTCGGGGGCAGGGGGGGCAGGCGGTGCTCAGGGGCGGGCCCGGACATCGCCCCCGGGCGCCTCGAGGGGGCCGAGGCGCGGCCGGGCGGCCGTCGCTGCTTGGCCGTCGGGAGGCCCCCGGCCTTCGGCGCGGCGGGCGGCCCCGCGGCCCAGCACCGCCGCCGGGCGGGGCGGAGCGGGCCGGTGGGTCGCCCGTGTGGGGCGGCCGGTGGGTCGCCCGGGCCTCGGGCCTCGGGGCCTCCCACGCAGGCGCTCCGCCGCTCGCCCGCTCGCTCGCGCGCAGGGCCCCTCGCGCTCGGGTTCACCACCCACCAAACCACCCCAACCCAACCCGAAGGCTTCAATTTGCCCTCCATTTCCGGTTGGGGGGGGTCGGGGAACGTTGAAAAAACACAACCCGAAATTCGGGTCAAATTCGGGTCTTCGGGTTGGGTTGGGGTGGTCTGGTAGGTAGTCACGGGTGCCCGAGGGGCCGGCTCCCGTGCGCGGCTCGTGGCTCCTCTTCTCGGGCCGGACGAAAGGGGGGGATAGGGAAAGGGGGGGGGCACGAAATGTGCTGCGTGCAGCTGGTTTCGGCACCACCGAGGGGCCCATTCCTCGATACAGAGCCGCCTCCGGCGCCGGGAGGCGCCGGGAAAATCAGAGCTACGTGAGCTGATTCTCAAACCCCCCCTTTGCTATCCCCCCCTTTCGCCCGACCCGATCTTCCCTCCGCTCCCTCTCCGCCCCGTGCTCCCTCCTGGTCGGAGACCTGGTCGTCGTGGACGAGGATGCGGACGGTGTGTGGGGCCCCTGGCTGCGCCTGCTGGCGCTCCCCTCTGGGGAGGTGCTCGGGCCCCTTTCCCCACGGTCGGGCTTGCGCCCGGGCCGCCCAGCTGTGCTTGCACGCCTGGCGCCGCGCCTGCTGAAGACTCCGCCCCGTCTCCCTCTCGCACGGCTCCTCCTCCTCCTCCTCCTCCTCGTCCTCCTTCTGCTCCTCCTCCTCCTCCTCCTCCTCCTCCTCCTCCTCCTCTTCATCCCCCCTCCTCCTCATCCTGAGTTGTCTTTGTTGGCAGGCATGGCAAGAGAGGGCACCACAATGACGCGCCGCCGTGGCGAGGCCGTCGGGGTCTTTGTGCCTTCGCTCTTGTGCCCGAAGGAGGCCAGGGCTGCTTCTGCAAAGCGGTGGCCCGCAGAGATGGATTCTCCACGGCGGCGTGGCCTTCGTTGATGTTGCCGTTTGCTTGTGCTGTCGCTCCCCCCCAGGGAAATCAGAACCCGATACGCCTAAGTCGGGCCTGTCCCTCTACAGGGGGAATACTCAAAAATTGTCTTAACACAAAAACAGAGGAGACGATTGTCTGACTATGTTTGACCATGTCTGGTGTATGTTTTGACCATGTTTATTTTTCGCGCAAAATCAGCCTGTGGGGGGACAGGCACGACCTAACAATACGCACATACAATGCCGAAGATCCGCACGGAGTTTCCTGGGTCGCCGCTGAACCCCCTCCCCCCCCCTCGGGAAGTTCCGCGCGGACCTCGGAGAGTGCACGGTCGAGACCGGTTCGCAGGGCGGCCCTGCCAGATCGAGGGTGCCCTCGTGTCCTGAGCTCGGCGACCCGTGCCTTCTGACATTCCGATGGCCACGTGGCCCTCGGAAGGGTCTCGTGTCCTCTCGAGTGCCCTCTTCCAGTCAACCCCGACGGTGTGCTCGCGTGCTGGGTGTTGCGAGCGAGCGAGAGCGGCAGTCGGGAGGCTCCTGGGGTCCAGGGAGGAGGGGCGCGCGCCCCGAGGGAGGGGGGGGGCGCGAAGGGCCTCGGGGCACCTCGAGGAGGGGGGGGGGGGGGACAGTGGCCTCGCCGTGGACCGGCACTCCGTACAGCGGAGGCCCCTGCCAAGAATCACCCTGCCTGCCTCCAGGGTGCCCTGGGCTTCTTGGGCTTCGATGGTTTTGCGATGGACGGCGTGACGCTCCCACACCAAAAATCCATGGACGTCCTGGGGTCTCAGGGTTGGGCTTCCTGTGGGGGGGTGTCTTGTGGACTGGCCCCCACTGCAAAGCAGGAGCCACCACCCCGAGGATCGTCGCACTTCGGCCAGTCCTCGACAGAAAGAGCAGGAGGTCTTTTTGGGGGAGGTCCCGCGAAGTTCTGGCTTCTTGTTGGGCTTCTTGTGGGGGGGTCTCAGGGTTGGGCCTCTTGTGGGAGGTTTCTTGTGGACTGGCCTCCACTGCAGAGCAGGAGCCACCACCCCGAGGATCGTCACACTTCGACCAGGCCTCGACAGAAAGAGCAGGAGGTCTTTTTGGGGGAGGTCCCGCGAAGTTCTGGCTTCTTGTTGGGCTTCTTGTGGGGGGGTCTCAGGGTTGGGCTTCTCGTGGGGGGGTTCTTGTGGACTGGCCTCCACTGCAAAGCAGGAGCCACCACCCCGAGGAGCGTCGCACTTCGACCAGTCCTCGACAGAAAGAGCAGGAGGTCTTTTGGGGGGGAGGTCCCGCGAAGTTCTGGCCGCCGGCAGGCGGCCGAAGAAGTCGGCGGGTCGCCCTGGAAGGCGACTGGGTAGCCCTTTGGGAGGGGAAAAACACACACAGACACAGTCGATCGTCGATTCCCCAGAAAACATGGGAAAGTATGGGAAGTGGGGGGGGGGAAGACGAGAATCAAAAAAAAAATGAAAAAACACAGGGAGTCCTGTTATTTGTGTGCATTTTGTTAAGTGTCCTTGGGCCCCTGCACTTTGGGAGGATACCCTGGTCGGAATGCGACTTTCTGGTCCGTGCCGCGCCCGGCCATTGCAGCACATGTATCACATGGGCGCCAATTTGACACAGGCCGTTCCAGAACTGGGCTCGCCGTCGGCGCACTCTCTCCACCGCCAGGATCTGTCCACATCCACGGCGTCGGAGTCGTGCCCTGGGAGCCCGAGGAGCGGTGGATATGGATATCTGCCCGCCCGCGCTGGCGGGCAGATATCCATATCCGCCGCTCCCCGAGTCCTCGGAACACGACCCAGCAGCAGTGGATATGGTCATATTCTGGCGACACACCCTCGCCCTCCTCACAGAAGACAGGCCTGCATTTTTTCAGCCGGCGGCGCAGAGGGTCCTCCGGCGCGAGCGGCAGATGGAAGTGCCAATTGCGATCGAACATTTTCGAAGGCACAGTGTACAAACCGTGCCCACTGTCAAGTGCAGGAATGGGTGGTGTGAACGAGGAGCTGCAAATCCAAGCGAAACGTGCAGCGGCCAGAAACCGAGGAGGCAACTCGACTCGAAGTGAACTGAAAAGACAGACCTGCACACGCATAACCTTCTCGAGGTCCGCGCCGATGGTTCCTGCGTCGGCGCTGGACCCCCCCGGGCGGACGGCGTCGCCCGCGCCGCACTTGGCACAGTCCCCGCGCGCCAGGGATGGTCAGCCCGGCGCGGACCTCCGAAAGTCTGTGCTCATGTCAGGCCGTCTGCGGCAAACCCCGCCGCCGTGGCTGTGCAACAGCGTATAAGGAAGGAGCTTCAAGTCTTCACGCTCGGCTGGGCCTCCTAGGTGGGGTCCGAGTGGAGGAGGTCGGAGGATCGCGCCGTATCGTCTGCGGCAAGGGGGGGGTCTGCGCAGGGGATGATGGCGTTGGTGATGCCGTTGACCCAGCCGGCCAACATTGATCATCGCCGCTGCGCCGCGTGGGCGTTGCAACGGCTCGTCGCTGGGTGCGTTGGTAGCCCCCGTGAGGGGCAGTGGATTGTTCGATGTCCGCTCATTTCTTCTTCCTCCAAAACTATCCAGCTGTCTGCGGCAAACCCCGACCCCGCCACCGTGCCGATGCAAGAGCGTAGCAGGAAGGAGTTTCAATACTTCGCGCTTGGCGCATCCCCACCAACCCATCCACGAACGACGCCCAGGTAAGCTGCCCTTCTCAGAGGAGCGTGGCGTCATTTGGAGAACTCGGGAAGCCTCGGTGGGCCAGAGGCTTCTTGGATACCTCTCGGAGTCTTTTGGGATGTCTTTCGGAGTCTCTTGGAGGCGCCCTGGGGCGTCTTGGAGGCCTGGCGGCTCTCGGGGACTCTTCGGGCGCCTTGAGGGCCTCTTGGAGGCCCCTTGAGGCGTCTTGGGGGCTTCGTGGCGGTCTTATGGGCCCCTTGGGGCCTCTTGGGGGGCCTCTTGTGTGCTTGGGCCGGCCTGGGGCTCCCTTGGGGCCTCTTGCCTTGGAGCTACCCGAGAGGCATATTGGGTCACCTTTGGCGGTCCCAAACCCAAACAGGCGAGAACCTCAAAAACATCTTCGGACGATCAAAGAAAACCATGGTTGTTGCCTCCTCGGGCTCTCCTGGAGGGCGTCTTGGAGCCCTCGTGGGCCGTTCTGGAGGCCTTTCTGCGAAGTATTTCGGACGTCCTGGGAGGCTCTTGAGTGGTCTCGGGCCGTCTTGCTGTCATCTTGGCTGTTTTGAAA